TGTCGAGCGACAGCTCGACCAAGTAATCCTAATCTTCCGCTACCTGAACGACAAGGACGTATTTGAGGCATACTATAAGCAGCACCTTGCCAAGCGCCTCCTCCATGCTCGCTCGATGCCGTCTGACGCTGAGCGGTCTATGCTAGCCAAACTCAAGAGCGAGTGTGGATACCAATTTACTACTAAACTCGAGGGTATGTTCACTGACATACGATTTTCTAAGGACGCGATGGACAAGTACCGCGCACACAGTGATGCTCGGAGCGGGACGCCCACGGCTGGTGATGCCATGCCACCGCCTCCGGCACAGTCTGGCAACAGTGGGCAGACGTGTTCAGCCACCCGCACGAGTCCCGGGTCCGAGGTACACGCCGTTGTGCGACCGACGATCCTCGCCGTGGATTTGGATGTCACAACGCTCACGGCTGGCTACTGGCCCATGCAGGCCACGAACACTTGTCGCCTCCCCGCAGCGGCACAGGCAGTATGCGAGCCCTTCGAAAGCTTTTACCTAAAACAGCACACGGGCCGTAAGCTCACGTGGCTTACGAGCACTGGCTCCGCTGAAATCCGCGCGACTTTCAGCCAGGCTGCCAAGCACGAACTCACAGTCTCGACATACATGATGTGCATCTTAGTACTCTTCAATGACTTGGACCATGGTGCGGAAATTACCTTTGCGGCACTCGCCGCTCAGACTCAAATCCCACGGAATGAGCTCAAGCGCCACGTCGTCTCTCTCTGCACGCCGAAGCATCGCGTCCTTCTCAAGAAGTCGAAGGGCAAGGGAGTCTCCGACGACGACGCTTTCAAGGTCAACATCAAATATTCTTCTAAGCTGAAACGTGTCCGTGTGCCCCTTGTTGCCATGAAGGAAGCTGGCGCGCACCCAGACTCGTCGGACAAGGTCCCCGCCGCTGTAGAAGAGGACCGACGCCACCTTTGCGAGGTAATTTCGGGCGTCCGACCTTCTCTGAATTCGACATCGCCATATCTTTCGTAAGTTTGTGAATTTGCCAGCTGCAATTGGCTATCTTATGGCTCTGATTTACTTCTTTCGTGTCTTGCTCTCGTTCTTGTTGTGTTTGTGACATTGTCAAAGTCAGTATGGCATCGCTAGGCAACTGTCGTGCGCATAATGAAAGCTCGTAAGCATGCCAAGCACAATGATCTCATCGCGGAGGTCCCGCAGACTCGGAGTCGGGGGTGAAATTCAACTAAATTATATGATGAATGCAATATCAAGCTCCCCCGCCCTCGCGCATACGTAGGTGACTCGCCAACTCAGCCAGCGCTTCTTCCCTCAACCTCAGTTTATAAAAAAATGCATCGAGTCTCTCCTTGAGCGTGAGTATCTCGAGCGCGACGCCAGCGACTCAAAAATGTACATCTATATGGCTTAAAAGCACACTGTCTTCGATTGCCTCTTCGCAGTCTCCAGGACCCAAAGGAGGTGCCCTTCGACTGCGACCGCGACTGTCAGCCTGTCGAGCGAGCCTGTCGTAGCTGCGTAGAGTCGGAAGTATGGTGACGTAAAACGGACATTCATGAGAAACCGAAGGGAACTCCAACGCGGGAAATTCGACGCGTTCTACTAGTCCTAAGACCGACAGAGTACTAACACAGCGCCTATTTCTTGTTGGTCCGTTTTGCGAATCCACCCCTGCTCATGAAGAGAACGACCACATACTTGACCTAGAAAGTTAGGATAGTTTACTACCTGGCAGTCACTCCTTCAGTTCGCTGCCTATAAGACTTGAAACTGGATTAGAATGAATTAAGGAAGGGAAGGGAGGACTAGCAGGATACGCAGTAGGAGCGCAGTGGGGTAAGGTGCACTGCAACATCAAGATGCAGTTCAATGAAGATGAAGATAGAAATCTCTCTATCTCTCTACCACATATAGAAAATAGTCAAGTTATAAAAACCAGAGTTTTTTTTTGTCTGAGACGCACCACTTTCTTCAAAATTGCGATGAAGGGCACCTGGCGGCGTCCCGAGGCCACCCATTCACAAAAATACTTCCAGGTACCGCAGCGTGTGGCGTCGGACAAAGAATACGTGTTATCTTCTGTCCTCGACCAATGAAATCGCTGGAATGTCCGACTGGTTCTGATTTTCCATAATATAACTATTTTCTATATGAAGAACTCGTGAGAAGAAGTGTAGAGAGTTTTCCCTAGTTAGGCCCCTCCTCTCTTCCCTCGTACTTTAATTCTCCACGGTTTATGCTAAGGAGAGTTGCGGGGCTGAACCTGTTGCTAGTTTCCCTTCCCTTCCTTAATTCATTCTAATCCAGTTCCAAGTCTTATAGACACCGAACTGAAGGAGTGACTGCCAAGCAGGGACCGTGACAGAGAGCATAGCGCTCTTCTGTGTCTGTGGTATCTGTCTGGTTAGCGTCACAGCGACGTGCCAGAGAGCACCAGGCTCAGCGAGGTAGCACAGTCGCCGGACAGTGCACCTGCTGGATAGTAGTTTGACTGCCGTCATAGCGACGTTAGGAAGCTAATAAACTACCCTAACTTCCTAGAAGTTCAACAAAAAAAATAGGCCAGTACGCACGGTTTGATCTGCGGGACATCATCGCTCGCGCCGCAGAGCGATAAAATAACGTGAATCCCGT